GGCTCCTGGTCCACCCTCCTTGTCTCGGGTGCTCTTGGGTCGTGGCACCCTCAGAATGCTTTGCACTGCTTACAACTCACCAGTCCTGGGCTCATCCGATTTGAGGGACCAAGAACACATTTCCTCATATAATAAATTAGTTGCTGCATGTAGTGCCTTGTGCCTACAGTCCCAGATACTTGGGAAGCTGAAATGTGAGGCTCGCTTGAGCCCAAGAGTTCAAGACCAGTCTGAGCAACATAGTAAGACCCCATTTCAAAAATAAATAAATAGAATGCATTAGGTAACATTTCCTTTTTAACGTTTTTGTGACCTTTTACACATGCAGACATTATCACATTTAAGCAAGTCACTTAAATGTGTTTTAATCTGCTGCTGTTGCTTCCTTTATCCTTTTTTATTATTAAACCCTTAATGGGCTTTGAGACCACAACGGTCTCAGTCTATCTTTCCCTCCTTCTCCCTCCGCACTCCCCCCACACACAGCTGCTGAAATATCTTGCCTAATGTAAATCTGTCTTGAAGTCCTAAGGTTCTCTCTTACAGGCCCCGCTGCATGGTGCCTGATTTGTCAGTCGCTCTTACTTTGTCATTAACTCTTCGTTAACACTGGGGACAGCTGCTTGTTAAAGGTCTCTCACTCTTTACAAGCCTGTGGATGACTTTGCTGGTTTAGCAGCTGATTGGCAAATTGTTTTCTAGACTTTCTGTATATTCATTTTCTAAAGCTGCCATAAAAAATACCACGGGCTATTGGCTTAAACTACAGAAATGTATTTTCTCATGGCTCTGGAGGCCCAAGTGCCAGAACTCAGTGTTGGCAGTTCGGGCTTCTTCTGAGGCCCCTCTCTCCTTGGCTTGCAGATGACCAGCTGCTCGCTGTATCCTCCCCAGTGTCTCTCGGTGCCTCCTACTCTTACTTTGTAAGGATGCCAGTCAGACTGGATGGGCACCACCCAGAGAGCCTCATTTTAACCTGAAGGGCTATGACCAAATATAATGGCATTTTGAGGTACTAGCGGTTAGATCTTCAGCACAGGAATTTGGAGGACATAATTCAGCCCATAGCACTATGGTTAAGTTGAAATGTTAGTTGGGCAGTGAATCCAGTCTTTGGTGAAAGTAACTTTTTGTTGCTTTGTATGGAACATCCTCCACCATTCCCTTCTCCCTGGTTATCGTGATAAGGGTCAAAGGCAGTCTTTTCAGTTCCACAGTGAGAGCATCTTTTCATTCTGAGGTTCTCTCTCTCTCTCCCTGTTCTTCTCTCATTTCTTTTTGGAGTACTGGGGATTGAACCCAGGGCCTTTGCACTAAACTACATCCCCAGCCCCCTTTTTATTTTTTATTTCAGACAGGGTCTCACTAAGCTGCTGAGTTGCTCACTCTGAGCTCGAACTTGTGATCCTCCTGCCTTTGTCTCCCAGAGTGCTGGGCTTACAGGCTGACACCACCATGCACCCATCTCTCTCTCTTTCTTAAGAGACAGGATCTCGCTGTGTTGCCCAGGCTGCCCTCAAACTTCCAGGCTTAGTGATCCTTGCCTCTTTTGTTTTGGTCTGTCTTAGCCTGTTTTCTGTTGTAACAAAATACCTGAGACCAGGCAATTTATCAAGTAGAGAGGTCTACTGGGTGTGGCACACATGCCTGTGATCTCAGCTATTCCTGAAGTGGAGGGAGGAGGATCAGAAGTTTAAGTCTAGCCTCGGCAATTTAGCCAGACCCTGAGTCAAAATAAAATAGAAATGGCTGGGAATGGGGGTATAGCTCAGAGGTAGGGAATGGGGGTATAGCTCAGAGATAGGGCACTCCTGGCTCGCTCCTGCTGGTGGCTGGGAAGTCAAGCATGTGGTGTGATGTGCTCGGCATTGCCAGGGACCTGCCCCTGTGCCAGCCCAGGTCTCTTCCTCTTGTTATAAAGCCGCGCAGGCCCTCCTGACCTCATCTAATCCTAATCTCCCGCCGGAGGCCGCGCCTGCAAATGCATTAACGTGGGACTTTGGGGATGAAGTTTCCAACATATGAACTTTTGGGGGTCACATTCCAAACATGGCCTGACAGGGGGAGTAGGCTGCTTGGGTGAAAGGGACTCAGGCAGGGTCCGTCCTGCTCCAGGGTCTTTCACCGGCGCTCAGAGTCCCCAGTTATGCCAGCGTGCCCAAGCCCCCTCATCTCCGCGCTCAGGCCTAGGGAGGGGCCTACCAGTGCCAGGGTGGGGAGAGGAAGCGTGTCGGGCACAGGGCCCAGGCTTCTGAGAGATCGTGCGGGGTCTGTCCTCAGCCGTCGCCCCGGGGAGGCGTCCCCAGACAGCAAGACTAGTTTCTGAATGAAACATGGAGCCCCGCGGATGGCCGGGCCG